GGCGCACTATTGTGAATCGCCCTATTAAGCATTTAATCACCACCAGTGGCTATACCTGTTCTGGTTTAATACAGGGTTCGTGGACATGTTTCCATACGTATCTGGTTCATAAGTGACTTCGTCGTACACGCGGATGCACCACAATTTGCACGCTCCTATTGGACAATTGCTGAAGTTGTGCGTTAACTTCCGATCCCATGGTTCGATGTAAACGGCAATCAATGCTCGTAACTCTTTGTGCAGTGCACGTGCCATGGACAGGGTTTAAACTGAAGTGACATCAAACTTAATGTACAAACCGGATGAACACCCATACACTCATGTTTCACATGGAATCCCTAACGTGTCTCCAATCCGTGGGATTTCCAAATTCAGGTCAAGCCTTTCATTTATTTTTCATCCTACTTGGGACAGCGGGACCACTTGTCCTCCCTGTGCAGGGAAAAAAAGTATCTTTCCAACCACATATCGGCATACATGTATGAACGAGGCCTACAGTACCTCAAATACACATGGACATCTGTTCAGAGTTCCAAATCATTCCAGAGCTCACATACATGTACACTGTCCAAGCTCTTGGAAAGCTTTTTTTCCCACACAAGCCCTTGAGAATTTCACAAGCCAGCCTGCTGGGTTCGTCCTTGGGAGAAATGGGTCAAAAATCATGGGGCTATAAAAAAAAACACTCTCCTTGGCACAAACCAAAATAAGATTGTTAAAGCGCTCATGTCCCCTCCATTGGGACTAACCAGCTGGACGTGTTCATATGCACAATGCAAGTAAACATGCACTCTACACCATCGTATGTGTGATGGACATCAACGGTCAACTCCCATTACAAAGAACCCTGTTACAACATACCGTTTTAAAAAACAAATGTCAAGAATCCCAATTTCTTTACTCTTTTCTTTGGTCCATTTCTTTGTTTCTCCAATCCTTCTACATGTGCATGTATGACAAAGTCCTGGTTATAGCCATTAGCAAAGTAATTTGGTCCCTGCGATTACAATGAGAGTCAACTGTACAACGGGTATCACTGCTGGAGAGGAAATCGACATCAGAGCTGGACCGAGACAAGTTGGATCTGCCTGTCTGCGTGACGCAGTTGACCTTATTCACAAGTTGGCCATACTGAATTGAAAGCGAGGTTAACTTGATTATTTTGGACACTGTGACTGAAAATGAAAGCAATCAAATGAAAGTTCTTAACAGTAGTTTCATTCACGGTGATAAATAATTCAATAAAGTGAGGCATGTACTGGAACCAAGAACAGTCTGGCGCCATCCCAGTTATATAAGATAGAGTCGGGGAACATGATCAAAAATGACTTCCTTGTGAATAAGGCACATGTACATTATATGACTGCAGCTGTGGCTGACAGCCTTTATCCCTAAGCAGCCGTTTTCCATAGACATGTGTAAGAGCCAGCCTCAGCCAAGACCTACGGAAGCAGTCGGAGACGGTATCGCACAGATATCAACAGCTGCATCGTCAACGCACCCGAACCCCCCTCCCCTAGGAATCGTCAAATAACTCGCTTGAAGAACTCACTCAGCATACATGTACTTTGTTACCGGTTTTGCGCGGCCCACAGACAGATGCTATCCGGCCTGGGGCATCCGCTCGCTGAGACAAACGAAAGCAATGCCCCCTCCCTTCCTCCAAAGATGCCAGGCGATGATGTTACACCCAGCCGTAATGCCATCATCTCCCCTGGCTAATGACAGCATGAAAGATGTGCTTTGATTGGATAAGCATGTGTCTACACCGACCCATCATGATGAAATGGTCCCCCTTGGATCTACATGTAGTTTTCAAAGGAGAGATTCCCACGTGGGATTTTCTTCTTCACACTGATGCTGACAGTCTGGACCAGTTCCCATCTGACTAACACATCCTAATTGCCAGACAAGAGACAACGCTGTCGTTGGAAACATCGTCGAGGCGATGTACATCGTGTGTACGTACATGCACAAGGTGCATCCAAGTCTGGTATCTGGTTCCTGACTACGGGCACACGTACTGCCACATAAATTTTCTCCACTGAGGAAACTGCCAAGTCTACACAAGACACTGCCACTCCCCCCACGGCTTTTTCTAGTCATTCGTCCAAGTCCTCCGAAATCCTGAGAGTAAGAACCCAATACATGGCGTGGTCCTTGTGCCTTGGAGGCCAACAGTTGTAAGGACAGTCCTGATATCGAACTACATGTACGTAACAAGCTCAGCGATTCCTTCTCTACCGAGTATTCTTGCTGAGTTGTGTAGAATTCATGATTGGGAAGGTACTGCTAAATGCTGCCACGTTTTTTTTTTAATTCCCACTAGTTTCTTCACTTTCGCAAGCATGCAAAAGTAAGTTTTCTTTTCTTCTAAACCCTCCCACGCCAAAATGGTAAACAAGAACTTGATGGTCAATCATTGAGATTTTTTTTGTTTAGAGTTTTCAAAAGAGTGAACATAGGATGTTAATCCCACAAAGCATTTTGTTCACCCTTGAAAAAGATTTAAAAGAAAATGGACGACCCCTACATGTATACCGGTATGTGCATGTACGTGAGACCACAACTTCCTGAAAACGTTTTTTCAACTTTGCAGGTAGGACGGGTGGCTGTTCCTAACCATGAGCGGAAAAAAAAATCGAACGATCTGAATTTCAGATAAGAGAACTGGTGCACTCATAGCCATGTCGTCTTCAAGACTATGTGAATCTGCCTTGCCTAAAATTATTGGACAGTTCTTTCGGTGCTGTTTGTTTTCAATTAGTAACGATCGGAATATATGCTACTCCTCTAATTGACAGTGACTGATTGGCATGGAGGGCAGAGTGTTGAACCAAGAATGTAGGTGGCAGAGGTTAGAATCCGCTACTGCAGACCATCATTCTATTTATTGATAATAAGTGGTATGCCTTATTTTCAGTTTCAGTTGATTGAATTTATTAGTGTGGCACAGAACTTGACTGGCAGAATCAAGGGCAGAGGTTAGAATCCATCATAGTACTCCATGTTTCCATTCTCATTTTCCCTGCATAATTATCAACAGTAAATGGCATATGTGCTAGTTTTTCTATTCCAGTTGCTTCACTTGGCTTCTGTTGGTTGAAGACTTGACTATCAGTATAGAGAGAGGAGGTTAGAATCCATCATGGCTTTCTAAGCTTCTGTTCTAATTTTGCTCCAATTTATAATCAACAATTTGTGTTGTGAGATGAGTCTTCAAGTACATATGCCTAACATATTTCTCAGGTCTTTGCAATTTACGTGTAACCTTATTTCAGTTGCATGATCACTTTAACAAATACAACAGTTAACGTCCGTTGGACAGTTCTCCTTCCAGTAAAATTTCGGATGAATTTCTGTTTCGTTTTGACTTCATGAGCTTTGACTTTGAGCAGCAACTGTCCAACTGACAGAACACATGTACATGAAGTAAATATACACAAATGGTGTTTGGAATTAATACCTTTCAAAGCTCTCAAAACAAACACAAAAACCCCTGCTTAAATTAAACAGACTCGACAGAATGCCAACGCATAATTTCTTCTGGCGAACTGTGGTGATCACGTGATCAAGAGGCTCATTATGAAAATAAAATAATACAACCAGCCGAAAAATCTCCAGAGGTGATGTTGACATTCATAACACACACTGCCTGCAGTCTGGACCGGACAGAACTGCTTACTAACAGTACATTGTACCAGCATATTTCCCGAACACGTCAGCCTCTTGTCAGGGCAAGGCCTTGATATTGAAAGCAAGCCATTCAACCAAGGGAACTCTTTCACTTTACTGACTGTTCTCCGAAATGGAAATGATGCTTTCGTGTACATGTATGCTTAACTTACAATGTCAACAGTGTGGGGGCCACACAAGGTACCCACTCTGTGAAATTGAGTCATAAGTCACCAGAGCCACTTTTTGAGTTTTCATTTGTATTGGAAAGAGCAAATTGAGGTTTTTCGTTTTGAAGTATCACTCAGTTTGGCATCCTGATGAAAGTGGATACTCCATGGTGACAAATGCTGCGGGGTCCTATTGATTTACACTGTGCAAAATTATTCTAAAGGACTTTTTACTCCAAAGTGACTCTGGCGACTTAAGACTCATTTTTACAGAGTGGGTCACATATGTTCATGGCAGTGGGGAACATACAGTGCATGCACACACGTATGCATACAGAGCAAGTATGCACAGGATATTGTACATTTGTTCGTAAACATGCCCCGCCTTGGAATTTTGAGACGCAAGTGACCAACTTGGCCGTGTTTTTTTTGACACCTCCTCACATCTCATTTTCAAGTGCATGACAGGAACTTGGACTTTGACAAACGAGGAAATTCCAACCTTCACGAGACTTTGTCAAATGTTTTTTTTAGTTTTTAAGTGGCACGAGTGTGGAGTGAAAAACAAGGAAATCAGTCGATATGAGGAAAAGCTTTGCACCTGGGATTGTGCCTGTGGTAAGGGAGCCTCCAACCTAAACACATCGGGTAAGGCAATGTCCCAATTTGCATTTAGTGGGAAGTGGTCGCCCATAGAGTCGTGTGTAACTTTAATTTAAGCCCCAGCCAAGAAATTTCGCCACAGCTCTGAAGCAAGACAGCACAAATGCTTGACACAAAAAGGAACACCCACACAGTTTCCAAACACGGTACAGGCCTACATGTATATTATACTCTTGTTCTAGTGAACTCACACAGAGCCGCCATCGTGGTTTCCACATCACGAAGACAGTGCCGGAAGCCAAAGTCACCGACCAAATCGAATTTGGAAAAAAAAAGAAGAAAAAAAAAGAGGCCCACTCCTTCCCAAATTCACCTGACCACAAATATTCCACCATTGGCACAGTCCACTTGCCCCACTAGCCTTCAATCTGCAGGGCATGCTCCTTGTTCATCGTGTATCCATCCACTCCCCACAGCTTGAGAATCCTCCATTCAGTGCGGGATACAAAAACCCGATCCCCGTCCGGACGGCAGGGGAGACCGGTGACTTACCTGTCAAGCACTCGGTCCCAGCCGCATGGGGTGAGGCTCGGCGTCGGTCTGCAGATCTGGGGCGTCCCGGCTTTTATACAAGGCTGCTATTTCGAGTATATCCACAAAAGGCAACGACTGGGTGCATCTGCATGTGGAAAGATTTAATGTACATTTCACCGTGTTAAAAATGTGCATGGTGCATGTACATGTATCTGGACGTAACCCTTGCAAAGAATGTACATGTACATTTCACCATGTGAAAAATGTGCATGGTGCATGACTCCATGTAGCTGGCCTAAACCCTTGTATTATTGCTTTAGTGCAATAATAGGGACCCCATTGAAAATAAGTTGCAAAACTTTCATGGGCTATCCCTGGTATTACCTAATTTTTTGTGTACATTGTACAATTCTTCTTCATAGCATTGTTTGATTGGTGACTGTACTTTTGCTGTGAGGTAGTATCAAATAAATCCAATCCAACGGTACAGCAACTGCCTGTCACCTAGCACTGAACCTGAACTGTCATTGTTTTATGATGCCATTGGACAATTTATAAGTTTAGAAAATAAGAAATGGAAGCTTGCAGTTTGACTTCCATTCGGGTGGCAATTCACACGGATGGGACTGTGGGAAAGATGCAAAGTGGAAAGTTTCTCTATGACGAATCTTTTCACAATGCTTTGCCAAACATCGGCGTGAATATAAAAAAAAAAACCGGAGTGGCCTCTCAACTTCCGCACAAGTGGGCCCGCTGTCCGCAACACATGGGTCACTGACATTCCCTGTTGGTTTTGTAAATTAATTCCCCGGCCCCTGGGGGCAAAGCCGAGGTTGGATGTTTGTGGGGCCACAAACAACCGCGGGGAGGGGGGGGAGAATGACACCTTGTATCAGACAAAATGCTGGGGCTTCGTAACATCAACATGAGCCACTGGCTGGTTTACGTTTGGCACCGCATGGAAACGGATTTTGCTTCAAGGAAACTTTCTTATTTCTTGTGCGTGAATATTTATTCCACCAAACTATAATGAAGGCCAAGATCATCAGCGTGAATTTCAGTCACAGGATACAGTAACAGATTGCGTTCCCACTCACAGGATTTCTTTTTCGAAGGCTTTCTAAACTTTGAACGGCGTGGTCATTTTAACACCAGAAGACTTTGGTTTATATAAAGAGTATATTACAGAGTTAACATCTGCTCCTTGGACAGAACACAAGTACATGTACAGGTACATGTATATATTATCGCTGATGGGTTTGGAATTTGGAGATAAAAGACATCAAGTAAACAATCGCCATATATTAAATAAACCCAGCAATAAGATAGGCCAACTGTTGGAGTGGGTCATGTGATCCAAGGTCACGCAGACTACAGACCATTTGAGAATTTTTTAACTGTTAATGTCTAAAATACATGTACATGTAGTTGATGTCACTCTCTAAAACACAAATATGCATGCATAGTGCATACATGTACATATGTACATGCTGTGAAGGCTATTTTTCACTCCCTCTGAAATTAGAACCCTCCCGTGGGGACACCTCTCCACAGGGGGTTTTGCTCGCCAAATTGACAACCCTTCCATGTCCTGTAAATTTCAGTGGGTCGTCCCTGCTCTAAGTTAACAAAAATGTACATGCACATGTAAGATCTCTGACAATGATCCTCCCCCCCGCCTTTTAATAAATGATTCGGGCCAGGAATTATGCGGCCGACAGGTGATGTCACTGGATCCTTCTTTTGCCTCCGGAAAGAACGCCCTCCGTAAAATGTGTCTGTCTAGGAAGCTGGAGACACCCCCACAGCATGGAAATTGCCGCACATGCTGCTCTTAAAATGCGATCGCACATTACTTATGTGCATGTACCGGTAGTGTTCATATGTATGAAGAATTCATGAATGCAGAGACTGCAAACAATTCAAGTCTGGACTCAAGTCTGTCCGGTGTGTATTTGTGAATGAAGCATGTGCGCGAGTCGGTGTATGGCCGTGCTGATGGGACCGGGGCGGCCTCATGCGCATGCTGTTCCCGAATGACCTTGGACGGGCTTCTTTTTGGAATACCGCATTGCCTCACTGTTATCATGGAAAGGCCTGCGCAGATTTTGAATGGGCCAACATCCATGTACACATCATCATCCTGTACATGTCCAATGTGCAAATACTACATGCACGCTTCTCCTTGGGATATCTCCTACTTGTAATCATCTCTACTTAAACCTGTACAAACAACAACCTACACAATCTATTCCCAGCATCTGAATTTCCTAAAAAAAAAAACTAAACCACTGTTCAATGTACAAGCCTCAGACAAATCTGATCTTGTGCCTAGACTCCCCTGGGTGCCCCAAATGCCATCCGACAGCACTTAGTACCCCCCAGGGGGGCTGGGGACTGCAGCAATGAGTAAATGATCAGATGGATCGAGGTGTGACATATGCTGCATAATGCAACAATGACTGCCACAGTACAAGGTGTGTACACTTTTCACAGCTGAGAGTGACTCCCGTGGGACTCCAAAGGCCTGCATTTCTGACACCTTGGAGCGCCAGTCTGTCCCCACTGGCCCTGGCTCATAAATAATGCATGAGAGCCACAGCAGTCACTCATGAATAATTCAAAAACGGACTATGTTCCTTTAATACCTATATACATGTAGATGCATAAACTTGTTTTTCATATATTCCTAGGAGAGCAACATGGACACGTACATGTACATACTCGTGAACTTACAAGTGGCAATCTAAATAACAGGTCTGAAATTAGAGGAGTTACAATTTTTTGACATAATGTACATGTACAGTACATGTACATATGTACTGTCTACATGTACATGTACGTGAAATGACAAACAATGCCAAACATAAACATAAAAGGGCTGGATTTCAGATTTTGAAAATAGTCTGAAGGATACCAAAACTTTCTGTAAAAATGACATCACACTGCAGGTCTTTGACTTGGAAGTGTCATCAATGAATGCTGCGTGATTTGTGAATAGCCAAATAGGGCCGGGTCACCGGACCACTATCGGACCCCCAGACAGCGGAACATCCTTGCACGTTATTGTCAACACAAACGGCTCCCTCTGTTTTCTCCCATCCATATCATCACGATGACACAATGGAACAATTCTCCAACCCCGCAGGCTACGACCTACAGTACATACACACACGCAGCCATACGTGAATGAAAAGGCCTTGGTAAACAAAAGCGGGGCACCGGTGAAGTCTGGCCAAAAAAACGATGCACACCCCATTGTTCGCACACCGCAGTGTGGCATGCTGTTTGTATTGGTATGACCCTATCTGGTTCCAGAGTTCTGCTTGTGACGCATGTGTTTTTTTTCTCTATCAATAGTTCCAGTGACTTTGCACTGTACTGGCAATTGCAATCGACCGGGACAGAGAACTATTCTAGGAATGCACATTCCAGCACGTCTGCTGTATTAAGTTTGATAATATTCAGAAACAACCCTTTCCCCTTGATACTATTCACTCAATATGCAAATTCGTACAAAATAAAGCAATCCCAACACATGCATGTAATCTTGATAATCAGCGCGTACTTGTATGAGACAACGGTCTGGAATTTCCCACTTTTCTATGCAGCGGTGATATTTTAGGAAACAGATCTTGACTAGTTAGAACACAAACAATGAAAAACTATGAAAGGAATGCCCGTACAAATAATGCAGAGTGCAAAATCAACACTACAATTTGATTTTGGTCCAACTGTTTCAAAGTGCGCCACTGTTATTTTCGCGGACCAGGCCCGCACAATGGCAGGTTTCCCTCAAAAACACAAATCCTGGTCTCAGTCTGTGCTCTGCACCTCACAAAGGCCTCAGCATTTGCCGTCTAAGTACCGTACATTTGTCCCATAAACTGATCCTCAGGAGCCCAAAAATGTGACGAATGTCGATTTTGTTTACGAGAGACGTGCCGACCGGAGGGGGGGAGGGGGGGAGGGGGGGAGGGAAGGTTTGCTGACATTACCGCTATGCTCTGGCATCCGCTGGCCGTGCCCCCTCACTTTTCCTTCTTTCCCTTTTGGAGGGTCACTTGGATGTCGAGGCTGTCATAATCAGGTCAGACGCCCGCGCTCATTAAACGCAGTGAAACATTACTTTTTCGTCTCCGTCAATAAACACGGCCCAGAATAACTTGGCTAGAAGAACATCAGTTCAAAACGCAACAACAGCGGGCTCAATGTCTTCGCTCGGCGACTTGTCTTCCGAAGCCTAACTAAAAGCGAGGGTTGAGATCACTGACGTGATGTCTAAATTAATAGTTCTGGGTAATTTCTCAAGCATGTGTATCCCCAATCAACGACGGGAACCTTCCCCGATTCCTCCTCTATCCACTTCCGGTCAATGTACATTGACATTTCATATTTGATGGGTGTCATTTGTGAAGGCCACTGTACAGTGTGGTGGTGCTCAAAGTGATGCAGGCTGTCCTGAATCGTCCTGGTGGATTTCAAAAGGTCTTAAGATGGGTGATGTACTGATGTTAATCCACAGTCTCCACTAATACTGTTATGTAGGCCTGTAAATACCATTACACCTTGTTAATAAGAGGTCCTTCGGACTTGGCAAATTACCTTGTTATAGCAGGAAGCAACCATGCATTATCAGGAATGAAAAAAATGAAAAACAAATGAAAAAAATAAAGGACTGGGACCTAAGCTTTCCTTGTTAAATAAGCAGAATTTTGTGTGAACACTGCTCTTACTAACGAGATTCGACTGTACCTCCAAGAATAACAACACTGTTGTTGCCTTCTCCAAAGGCACATGTTACATGTACATGTTAACTCACCCAAGCCAAACACATGTCAACCAAGTCTGCCTTGTGTACATGTACAGTACATGGTAAATTCATTATACAGTGTAAACACCTGCATGTACATGTACATATGTACATGCACCTGTAAGTACTACACAAACTGAAGTCCAAATGTGCAGTGTTCACCATACACTTCGCAATACATAGTAGTTTGTAAAACCTCTGTAATGCCTAATAGATACCGGTACACGCACCTAGAATATACTAGCATTTAATGAACCGTGACCAAGATCTGTTAGGTCTCATCAACCTGTTTATGTAACCTCTGTGATCTTACACAAGTGTTACTCTTTCCA